GCCTGACTAATTTATTTATTTATTTATTTTTATTATTGAGACGGAGTCTCGCTCTGTTGCCCAGGCTTGGAGTGCAATGGCACAATTTCGGCTCACTGCAACCTCCACCTCCTGGGTTCGAGCGATTTTCCTGCCTCAGCATCCCAAGTAGCTGGGACTACAGGCACGTGCCACCATGCCCAGCTAATTTTTTGTATTTTTAGTAGAGACAGGGTTTCACCGTGTTAGCCAGGATGGTCTTGATCTCCTGACCTCGTGATCCACCTGCCTTGGACTCCCAAAGTGCTGGGATTACAGGCATGAGCCACCACGCCCGGCCCTGACTAATTAAAATTTTTTTTTTTTTGTAGAGACAGGGTCCTACTGTGTTGCCCAGGTTGGTTTCGAATTCCTGGGCTCGAGTGATCCACCAGCCTCAGCCTCCCAAATTGCTGGGATTACAGGTATGAGTCATGGTGCCTGGCCCTTAATCTTAATTTTTAAATATTATTGTCATCTTCGTTTGTTGTTGCCAGTATGGGGCCATATGTATACATACTATTTGACAGCTAGATTTTTTTCACTTAGCAGTATGGTTAGACACACTTCCCTGTTAGTACATGCAGATATGGCTCATTCTTTCCAGCTGGTACATTATATTCTACACTGTTATTCTCCTGCCCTCGCAGATCCTTTATTCACCTTCGTTTCTTTTGTGTACTGGCAGCTGGTCTCTGTTAACCTGCGTCATCTGGACTTCCTTGCCTTCTGGCTTCCAGCTGGGATCAGCTGATAAAAGGCACTGCCAGGAGACCTGAGGGCCAATGTTGGGAGGAGTCAGACTATGTTTTATCCCCATTGTCCCTTGCCATGGTTCTAGTAGCAGCTGTGCTCGTTGTCTGTGATCACTGCTCTTTAGGGTGGCTTCTCTTCTCCATCCAGCTCTTGCTGGGCTCCAGTGACACCCTTCTCTTCTTTTGCCCTTTTGGGTTGAAGGGTAGAAATAGCTTCCTGCTGTTGCTAGTCCCTAGATGCTTCACCATCCCTTGTTGATTCCTTTAAATGCTGCTCACACAGCTATAAAAAATCCTGCCATTAAATTTCCTTCAGTTTACTCCTTTGCATATGCCATCTCTTTCCTGCTAAGACCTCAACTGATGTGACCAGGGAGACTTACCATAATTTAATTATTGGGTCCCTATTACTGGGCATTTAAACTGTTTCTAGTATCTTGCTGTTATACTCAGAGTTGCTAATGAACATTCATGTACATGTCCTTTTTAGTATTTGTTGGAGTATTGTTTGAGAAAAAAGTCATAGGACTAGAAAGACTAGGTTAAGGTATATGAATATTATAAATTTCAATAGATACTTCTAAATTGTTCCCAAAGGAGTCTGCCAATTTACATTTCTACAATGTGTTTTTTTAATAATAAAAAATTAATGGAGGCAGTACTTCTGACTTTATAAAAAATACTTTTTTTTTTTTTTTTTAAGAGACAGTATCTCTCTTTGTTGCCCAGGCTGATGTGCAGTAGCATGATCATAGCTCAGTGCAGCCTTGAACTCCTGGGCTCAAGCAATCTTCCCGCCTCAGCCTCCCAAGTAGCTGGGACTACAGGTCCATGCCACCATGTCCAGCTAATCTTAAAATTTTTTGTAGAGATGGGGGGGGGTCTCATCATCTTGCCTAGGCTGGTCTCGAACTCCTAGGCTCACGCAGTCCTCCTGCTTTGGCCTCTTAGAGTGTTGGGATTATAGGTTTCAGCTGCCATGCTAGGCCTTATGACAAATAAATTTAATTCAGAAGTGTACAAAGGGAAAAGTAAAAGTCCTCCAAGTCTCACCTGCTTCTCATCATCCCATTCTGTTCCCTACAGGTAAGCATGCTAACACCTGTGTAGCCTGTCAGGCCTGTCTTCCATTTTTTTTTTTTTTTTTTTTGGAGATGGAGTCTCGCTCTGTTACCCAGGCTGGAGTGCAGTGGTGCGATCTCTGCTCACTGCAAGCTCTTACTCCTGGGTTCAAGCCATTCTCCTGCCTCAGCCTTCCGAGTAGCTGGGATTACAGGTGCCCGCCACCACGCCCAGCTAATTTTTTGTATTTTTGGTAGAGATGGGGTTTCACCGTGTTAACCAGGATGGTCAGGATGGTCTCAATCGCCTGACCTCGTGATCCGCCCGCCTCGGCCTCCCAAAGTGCTGGGATTACAGACGTGAGCCACCACGCCCGGCCCCTTTCTTCCATTTTTATATGTACATGCTTAGCATAGAGTAAATTGAGTACATTTATATGTATAAAATAAACTCATTCGTATATGTGTGTTTATGTATCTCTCTTTCTGTTTGAGATAATGTATTTCTAGACTCTGTTCTCTTCCATTGACCTAACTTGTTTTTTCCTCTGCCAGTACCTATCTACCTTAGTAATTATAGCTTTGAGTTGGTTCGATATCTGGCGAGGCAGATTCTCATCCCATTATTTTTCATTTTAATAAATTTCTTGGCCCTTCTTGGGCATGAACTCTTCAGATTATCTTTAGATCCAAGTTCAGAAAATTCATGGATTTTGACTGGAATGAAACTGAATTTATAGAAAATTCACATTTCAGGAAAACTGATATATTTCCAATTGAATCTTCTCACTTAAGAAACTCTTTTGCCGGGCATGGTGGCTCACGCCTGTAATCCTAGCACTTTGGGAGGCCGAGGTAGGTGGATCACGAGGTCAGGAGTTTGACACCATCCTGGCCAACATGGTGAAACCGCATCTCTACTAAAAATACAAAATATCAGCTGGGTGTGGTAGCGCGTGTCTGTAATCTCAGCTACTCAGGAGGCTGAGGCGGAGAATCGCTTGAACCTGGGGAAGCGGAGTTTGCAGTGAGCCGAGATGGCGCCATTGCACTCCAGCCTGGACGACAGAGGGAAACTCTGTTGCAGGGCGGGGAAAAAAAGAACCTCTTTTGTCTCTTTATTTACTCAGATATTTTATGTTCTTTGGTGAAAGTCTTGCCTATTTCTTACTAAGTTTATTTTTAGTTATTTTATAGATTTTGTTGCCATCATGAATGGAATTTTTTCACTTTACGTTTTCTTTTCTTCTCTTTCTTTTTTTTTTTTTTTGAGACAGGGTCTTGCTCTGTTACCCAGGCTGGGGTGCTGTGGCACGCTCACAACTCACTGCAGCCTCAGCCTCCTGAACTTAAGGGATCCTTCTGCCTCAGCCTCCTGAGTAGCTGGGACCACAGGTGCACACTACTAGGCCTGGCTAATTTTTTAATTTTTCTTTTTGTAGAGATAGGGTCTCATCATGTTGCCTAGGCTGGCCTCAAACTCCAGGGCTCAAGCAGTTCTCCTGCCTCAGCCTACCATAGTTCTGGGATTATAGGCGTGAGCCACTGCACCCAGCCCACCTTACATTTTCTAATTGGTTATTGCTGGTATGGTTTTTAAGAATGTGTTGATTTTTGTAAATTAATCTTATAATCATAATCACCTACTTTATTGAACTTCCTATTCTAATGATTTTTTAGTATATTCTCTTGGCTTTCCTAGGTGGACAATTATCTGTAAATTATAATGTTTTGTGACACCATTATTAATATTTATACGTCATTTTTTTCTCTTATGTCATTTTGTCGCTGGGATATCTGATTGGGCTTGGTTGGGGGCCTGACCCAGGGCAGTCTCCTTGGCCAGTGTTACATTTTACATTTAAGGTGTACCTGCTATACATTCTTTTACATCAAAGGGCGTATAGCAGGTACAGTAGCAGGGTGGGTGAATTCCAGACAGACCTTGAGGATAGAAACAACAAGGCAATGTTCAATGAATAGAAAGTACAATGACTAGAGCATAGGGCACAAATAAGGTTGAGAGAAGCAAGAGATGGATTGGAGAGTAAGTTGAGGCTCCGTCAGAAGCCGCTAGGCTTTAAGGAGCAATTACTTTATTCAGAGGAGTTGAGAATTGAATGAAAGCTGTAAGCTGTGTTAGGCAGAATGACCCTTTAAAGATATCCACACCCTAATCCCTGGAACCTATGAATTTGTTACTTGACGTGGCACAAGGGACTTCACAGATATAATTAAGGTTATGGGCCTTCAAATAGTGAGATTATCCTGGATTATTAAGGTGGGCCCACTATAATCACATGGGCCCCAAAAAGCAAAGAAGTTTCTCCAGCTGGAAGAGAAGCAAGATCTGGTGGAGGGGGAATTTAGAGAGATTCAAAGAGTGAGAGAGCCTGAAGGGCTCTGAAGGCGTGAAGGCTGACCCCTGGCGGATAACCAGCCAGGAAACGGGAGCTTGGCCCTACAGCTGCACGAACTGAATTCAGCCAACAGCCTGAGTGAGCATGGAAGTGGATTCTTCTCCAGGGCCTCCAGAAAGGAACACAGCCCTACCAACACCTTGGTTTTGGCCTTGTGAGACTCTAAGCAAGGACCCAGCTGGGCCTCACCATACCCAGATTTTGGCCTTCAGAACTCTGAGATGATTTTGTGTTGTTCTAAACTGCTAAGTTTATGACGCTTTGCCACAGCAGCAGTAGAGAACGAATGCAAAGGGGTTTAAGCAGGGATATTGTCAGATTTTGTGTTATTCAAAGACTTCTTGTGCCATGTGGAAATGGATTTGGAGAACGTAAATTTGGAGGCAGGGAAACGTGTCTGTGGGAATGCTGTGATAGCACAGTCTAGGGTAGTGATTATGGGAAGGGGATATGATTTGAAAAATATCTGGGAGGCAAGAATTGCCAGAACTAGTCAGGGACCGGATGTCAGTGGTTGGGGTGGGGAAGCAAGGATGACTGCTGCTTTCTAGCTTAGGCGCTGGCTGATAATGAATCTGTTTCTTGAGATGGGGATGAGCAGGTTGGAAGATGCCATGATATGAAAGTGATAACTCTTAAGTTGTTCTTCATTTGGAAATTCTCTCTATAGATACTTTATTTTAAGAGAGAATATATCAATAAGATGAGTGCTTTGTCTTTTAAGAACGAAACTTTTTCTTTTCTAGGTCATTTAAGAAATCGTAAATCATGTGAAGATGGGACTCTTGGTATTTGTGCGCAATCTGCTGCTAGCCCTCTGCCTCTTTCTGGTACTGGGATTTTTGTATTATTCTGCGTGGAAGCTACACTTACTCCAGTGGGAGGAGGACTCCAGTAAGTATAGTCACTCTAGCTCATCCCAGGAGAAGCCTGTTTCAGGTCAGTTACTGGTTTTTCGTGTGGCTGCAGTGCTCTCTTATTCTTCAGAGGTGGGCAATGAGAGTAAACTGAACACTTCTGGGACTTTGACTTAGACATTGCTGCCATTTTAGCTGGTATAGGCTGAGAACTTTGATGTTTTTTAAAAACTGCATGCCATGACACATCTCTGTTCCTTTTACAAACTTGGTGAGAATGTGCTCTTCTTCAGTAAAAACCCAAACTATACTCATACTTCTAGTTCTTGAATGCTTTTGTTCTTTCTAATTGCTGTAGCATATTGCCACTCTTATTTTCCCATTTATTGCCTTAGGGATTAGTATTGGAGTTGGTTTCCATATGCCCTTAAAACATTCATCTTTATGTTGAATTTTCAACATAATGTTGTCTCTGTTTTGTTTTCCCTAAAGAAACTTTGTCTACTAAATCTTTGTAGCCCTTGCTGCTATTGAACTTGCACCTGGCTACAATAATGGCTTATTTTCCTTACCCAGTAACTCTTAATTTTTTTCTTCTCTTTGTGCACTTTGTCTCATGTGTTATATAGTGCTTTCCACATAGCCTGAATCCCACTGATTTGGTTTCTGTTTACCTGACGTGGCCTGTGTTTTGGTTCTAGGCTTGCAGTTGAAGGGCTTACGTTGATCGGCACCAGCCTTTGAACATTGTTTTCTTGGCTGTAGCTTGAAATATCACACAGTGACCATAGTGGTTTTCTTTTTGGTTATTTTGTCTGACTGTTATCTGAGCTTCGTGTGGGAGATAATATAAAATCAGAACAGAGTGGCCTGTTTTGACCTACAGTGATATATCTTCTCTTAAAATTAGTTTTATTTTTACTGACATCTACCAGATACCAGTATAGAACTCACTTGAGAAGAGAGTCAATCTCTAGGTACGAGGTGAAAGTGAGCTGCAGTGAGTTGGAAGACGCAACAGGCAATTGGCCTGCTGTTGTTCTAAGACCCTAACATGGGAACTGTTACAGTGAAGTAGCTCATTTATTTCTCCCATGGCTCAAACTACTGAGGCAGTTTCAAGCCAGTTTTAAAAATATAGTGTTATATCCTTCATTTATTGTTTTATATAGGATGTTTAAGTACCTTTTAAATGCTTAGCTTATAATTATCACTAATTACTTGTGTTTCAAAAGTTTACTTAAATTTCTCTGCACTGACTTATTTTTAAAACCAAGGAGACTACCCAGGATAAGGAGTGTTTGTATCAGTGAAATGCAGAATTCTGTATTTAGAGGCATTCATTGTCTGTATTGGTAGTGGTGGATCCATCTGTATCAATAATATAGATGGAAATGTGTGTGAAGAACAATGGTCTCCTTTTCGGCTAAGAGCTACTGACCTGTAGAAGACATAACCAAGGATCAGATAAGATTTTCTTAGATCAGTAGGGCACGGAATTTACTTTATGGAAGACTCATTGTGTGTCAGGCATTAGGCTAGACAGTTTACAAATATAATTTCATGTAATGTAATTCTTACTACAGTTTTGTGAAGATGCCATTATTACCCCATTTTCCAGTTGAGCATACTGAAACACTTTAATTTACCAAGGTTATATTGTTGGAACTGGAATTCAATTCTGATTTCCTGTCTTTAAAACCTATGTTTATTATTTTATTGAAAAATATAATAAATACTGAAGGCAAGACTTAATATTCTACTTGGTAAAAAGAGAGAGGGAAAGGGGCTCAGAGAAGTAATAGTAGAGAGTATCAGGAAGGGAGTGTGAAAAGAAAAGGAGGGAAAGATAGAAAGTTATCAAAAGAAGACAGGGAGGCTTATTAGGTTTGAAGGTGACAAGGTGCTACTCACTTGGGCTGTAGGATTCAGAAGTTTATTGCTAGTTATCTGCTGTCCTTTCCATTAGTTGTTAGCTGACTAACCAGTATTTATAGCTTTTCTATTCTGACTCCTAAGCCTTTTAGATGTTTGACTTTGAATAGGTTGTTTAGACCATAGCATACTGTTTTCTGTGCTGTAATATCAGAGAACAGAGTAATAGGACCCACCCTGCATGGCTTACTAAGTCAGACAGGTCCTCCATTTTTTTTTTTTTTTTTTTTTGGAGATGAGGTCTCACTCTGTTGCCCAGGCCAGAGTGCAGTGATGCAGTCATAGTTCACTGTAATCTCAACCTGCCAGGCTCAAGTGATCCTCCTACCTCAACCGCCTGAAGTAGCTGGGACCACAGACTCACACCACCATTCCTGGCTAATTTTTGTATCTTTTGTAGAGATGGGGCTTAGTCATGTTGCCTAGGCTGGTCTCAAACTCCTGGGCTCAAGTGGTCTGCCCGCCTTGGCTTCCCAAAGTGGTTGGATTCCAGGCATGAGCCACTGTGCCCGGCCAGAGAGGAGTCCTTTACTTAGAGTCAAGCTGAAGGAGCGTCACAATCCCGAAGACTGTTATGTTGTGAAATTTAGGCTGTGTTTTAATATTATGATGATAAGATGAAATAGTAATTTATTGAGTATCTACTGTGTATCCATAACATAGCAGGGTCTTTATATTCAGAATCTCATTTGATCCTTGTAGTTTTTATTGGTTATTATTTTCCTCATTTTACAGATATAAGAACTGCGGCTTCAGAGAGGCTGTGTAATCAAGAGTTTGTATGCCTTTCATCTGAGGAGGTTGAGGACAATCCCAAGTTAGAAAAATAGATGTCTTTAGCATTACTTTTCCTTAATTTTTAGAATATTAATGAGTTACTCAGATAACCTATTGGAATTTCTTCTTGGTTGGGGGAAGAGGCTAGAGTTGGTTTTTGGTTTTTGTTTTTGACACAGGGTCTCACTCTGTCACCCAGGCTAGAGTTTTGTGGTGTGATCTCGGCTCACTGCAGCTTCAACCTCTTGGGCTTATGCCACCCTTCCACCTTAGCCTCCCAAGTAGCTGGGACTACAGGTGTGCACCACCACGCCCAACTAATTTTTCAAAATTTTTTTGTAGAGATGGGGTTTCTCCATGTTGCCCAGGCTGGTCTCAAACTCCTGAGCTCAAGTGGTCTTCTTACCTCAGCCTCCCAAAGTGCTGGGATTACAGGCAGGAGCCACTGCGCTTGGCCTGAGGCTAGAGTTTTTTATTATTAAATTATTCATTCAATAAGCAGTATGTTCTTATTATGGTCCATGTACTGTTCTGGGTAAACTGGATATAAGATGAACATAGGCCTTCGTACTCAGCCTATAATATGAGAACAAAACAAAACAATTATTATTATATATTGAGCTCTAAAAGAGCAATCTGTGTGAAATGCTGTGTTGGAGCATAGAATTCCTTCCAGATAGAAAATTTATGTTTTCATTAATTCCAAGGTGTGTCGTAGAGGACTACAAACTGCTTTGCCTTGGGTAGTTTAGAGACACATGTGACCTAGGGCTTGGTCAGGTTGCCAAGACTTGGGTCAAATGCTTAATGTGAAAAGCTTCAAGTATGAGAATAGTTATCAACCTGTTTTAAAAATTACTGTAGAATTATTATACATGTAGTATGATAAAATATGTATGTATACATATATTTTTAATATATATTTTAATTAATGAACAAATCACCAGTATCTGGAGTTAGAAAGAGTTGGGTGTGCTTGTTTCTTTGTCTCCAAAATGAAGATAAAAGACTTATATCTCAGCCAGACACAGTGGCACACACCTGTAATCCCAGCACTTTGGGAGGCCGAGGTGGGCAGATCACGAGGTTGGGAGATTGAGACCATCTTGGCTAACATGGTGAAACCCCGTCTCTACTAAAAATACAAAAAATTAGCCAGGTGTGGTGGCGCGCACCTGTAGTCCCAGCTACTTGGGAGCCTGAGGCAGGGGAACTGCTTGAACTCGGGAGGCAGAGGTTGCAATGAGCTGAGATCGCACCACTGCACTCCACCTGGGCCACAGAGCAAGACTCAGTCTCAAAACAAAACAAAAAAGACTTATTTTTCTTTGCTCTGATGCCTTGTGTAGGAGTCGGGTAGTTGCCTCTTTACAATAGCCCTCATTTCACAATGGTCCATTTCATGGAAGCCTTGCATATTTTTATTAATTTAAAATTTTACGTATTTCTGCTGGGTGTGGTGGTTCACATCTGGAATTCAGCACTTTGAGAGACTGAGGAGGGAGGATTTCTTGAGGCCGGGGGATTGCTTGAGGCCAGGAGTTTGAGGCCAGCCTGGGTAACATCATGAGGCCTTGTCTCTATAAAAAAAAAGTAAAAGATATTATCCAAGCATGGTGGTGCACACATACACAGTGTGTGGGATAGCTACTTGGGAGGCTGAGGTAGGAGGATCACTTAGGCCCAGGATTTTGAGGTTGCAGTGAGCTATGATTGTGCCACTGTACTCCAACCTGGGCAACAGCATGAGACCCTGTCTCAAGAAAGAAACAGAGAGAGAGAGAGAGAGAGAGAGAGAGAGGAAGGAAGAGGGAGGGAGGGAGAGAGAGAGAGAAAGACAAAGGGAGGGAGGGAGGAAAGAAGGAAGGAAGGAAAGAAAGAGGAAGGAAATTAATTTCTGATTAATAAAGTAGATCTTTCATAGGATTAGTTTCCTGGGCTGTGAGGCCTTTAAAACTTCATGACTGAGTGAGGTGGCTCATGCCTATAATCTCAGCACTTTTGGAGGCTGAAGTGGAAGGATTGATTGAGCCCAGGAGTTCAAGACCAGCCTAGGCAACATAGGGAGACCTTGTCTCCACAGAAAAATAAAAAAATTAGCTTAGTGTGGTGGTACATGTCTGTGGTCCCAGCGACTCGAGAGGCTGAGGTGGGAGGATTGTTTGAGCCCAGGAGGTCAAGGCTGCAGTGAGCTGTGGTCATGCCACTGTATTCCAGTCTGTGTGACAGAGTAAGACCCTGTCTCAAAAATTTTTTTAAAATTACATTTATGCTACTGTGTTTATCAATTATTACAAATCTCTTTGTGTTCTTCCCCATATTTATAAAAGATTATAACCAGACAAATTATAATATATGCATTCAAATTAT